GCCTTGTTCCTCCTCTTCTTTGTCTCTATTTCTATTCCATGGTCAATTTCCCTTTTCTCTATGTATCATCACACACCTAATACCGCTCCCCCGATTGCCACACCCGCCATGCACACCCCCGCCTACAGAGTGGCACACCTTTGGGATCTCCCATGGAGACACCCAGAGAGGTCCGGCTGTGTGCGGTGTAGGAGAAATAACGGCCACACTATGGAAACCCATTATGGAAATATGCCAGATAAATCACAAAAACCTCATACGACAAGTAGATATGAGAAAATAGAAGGACCTGAATTTTAACGAATTTTACGAATTTTTACGAATTATTATGACTATACATGATAAATCGAAAGAAAGAAAAATAGCAAAAATACTTCAAGCTTACTATCAACGAGACGGAATTCTCGGGGGAATTTATAGCAAATATTAAACCAAGAATTAGGACAATCGACCAAGATTTGACTATAAAAATAATCAGAGAACCTCCACGGAAACTACTTTCCCACGTCCGAACACGTAGCCAAGGATGGAAGTACCATGGAACGAAGATTCCTCAGGAACTAATGCAAAAGTCAGAGTCGTGTTTACAATAGGAAATGTAGATGTCCTCCAAACGGAACCAATGAGAGTAATTACAGGGGAAACTACCCATAAACGACGGAGATATGACTAAAACTCCTGCAAAACAAGGACAATGCCTAAAAGGGAAGCGCGAAGATTAACCAGTAACGACCGAGACAAGCTTGATAGCCCATTAAAAAGGAAGGGATCCAATCTTAATCCTCCCAAATTTTCATAATAAAAGGATCATGCGTTAATGAGATATCCAATAATGGGAATAGTGACATCAAAAGTCCGAGCTTAGGGAAAAGACGATGTTTGCGTAGGATCCATAGTTAAAACATACAACGAAATTTACACGGAAATTATTAAAAATGGGGAACTATAGTTATGCAAATTTTCAGCCCAAACAGTCCAGCCGTTGTGAAGTTATACCCATGACGGGAATATAGAAATCCGCATCATGTGTAATGACACGTGAGGGTGGCGATGCGCAGGGAACCGGCCGTCGGAACCGAGATCTGCACTTCGGCAGATCGCGAAGACCAATTTCCGTCCAAATAAGGAAGAGCCTGGTCAAAACAAAGCACGGAAAGTGCAAAACAACCTTAAATCATGAGGGAAAAATCTGAAATAAATCACAGAAGCCCATATGAAAGAAATAAACACCCGTGCATATCATAAATCCCGAACAATTAAACGGAAACGGCGCCCGCATACGAACGACTATGGGAATGACGCACGTGATTACCGAATGTGCGCGCGAACTTTTGCTAACTCAACGAATACCAGGAAATAGGACACAACCTTGGTACCATTGGAAAGGTGGGAATAAATGAAAATTTATGATACCAAGAACGTGAGAAAACATCCAGAAATGAATGAGATATAGGGACATGAAGTTAGAAACCTGAAAACGCGCGGGAAAACAGCTTCAAGAGGTCCAGAGTCCTAAATAAAATACATAAAAATATGAAATCTTCAAGGACGACCTACTATAACAACGAACAATACATATGGAGGATTAGGATGTGATAATACAAAAGGGAATCAGGGAATATGAACGAAATTCACGAAAACCACTAAACTACAACGGACCATGGTGGGAATTTTAGGGAACGATATTCTAATGAGGAGGAGAGCTATAACACATTTGTTTGAGTAATTCTTGATTACTAGCAACTTTTTCTTTCAGTTTTAAACCTGAATAATTCACTCATTTACCATTTCAGTCTCATTTTAACTAAATGTCACTAAATAAAAATGGAATAAATCAGCTGAAGGTCTCAGCACAGCCGTACGCATAGTAATGCGAAGTTTGAATTCAGAATCATCGAGTCATAGCAAATTTAATGGTATATATAGGGAATTTGAAATAGGTAACTGCGGCAAATGCAGCGCAGCCAAGTTCCAATTAACCATTAAAATAGCTTAGGCGAGGGAGGACAATAAGAATTCTAGGCACAGTCTGACCGCAGTAGAACCGCAGTTCAGCGCAGCAAAAGTGCAGTAGAACTATAGCATGAAAATTTCATTTTTATTCAGTTTGAGAAAAATACACTGTAAATAAATCCTGTAAATAGAAGGTAGAGCGTGAAAAAGGAAGGCGACCCAAGGAGTATAAAAGGGAGACCCTTTCTGCGACTTTTCGCCCCCCTTAGAGAAGTAAGAAAATAGAGTATTATTTTTCTCAAGCATTTCTGGTTGTCACTCCAGTGCGAAAAAGTGATATACAGTTAAGATTGCCACTGTAGTAAAAGGCAGCAATAAAGGAGAGAAATATTAAGTAGATATTTCAAGAGGAGAGCTGGTTAACACTCCAGATTTCAAAGTGTAAACACAAAACAGTTATTTTGCTACTGTTAAAACAAGCAATAAAATAAGACAAAAATAGAACAAACTCAAGGGACACTCCAGACACAATCCAAATTCATTAACTGAATAAAATCTTTGAAACTTCACTAAGTAGAAGATTAAATTCAAGATTAAATCCAAATTAAACAACGCTACACAGAATTACACCTAGACAAATTAATAAATTTCAATAAAGAAACAGCTCCGCAGGGCTCGGTTTATCTGTAAGTCAATTCCCAGGAACTTTAAAACTAACCCATAAAAATAGAATTAGCCAAAACACTCGGATTGGTACTTTATTTACAATAAATAACACTAGTACACTTCCCCATCCTAACTAAAGAACCAGGGAACAGCTTGGTGGTGGTCTCGTTTGAACCTCCCAACTGACCTCCCTTCGTTCTCTCCTTCAGCGGAGATGATGTGGCTCCCCCCATGTGACCCTGACCACATGTATATAATAGCACCTGGGGGGGAACAGAAGAAGCAGCCTTCTTCTCAACTTCCCACTTCAGGTAAGTACTGTAGTTCCTTTCTTTTAATGATAATACAACTCCCCACCAGACTAAGTGGTTGGGGATGCTCCCCTGTGATGGGATCGCTGCTATGCACAGCTGACATCTGTCCCATCGGGTCCCTCGTCCCAGGACTTCGCCGCTTTCGGAGCTGTCCCTGACATATAGTTCTACTGCACTCAGCTGCGCTGAACTGCGGCTCTACTGCGCCTAGAATCCTTATTGTCCTTCCTCGCCTAAGCTATTTTAATGGTTAATTAGAACTTGACTGCGCTGCATTTGTCGTAGTTTTCTATTTCAAATTCCTCATATTTACCATTAAGTTCGCTATGGCTCGGTGATTCTGAATTCAAACTTCGCATTACTATGCGTACGGCTGCGCTGAGACCTTCAGCTGATTTATTCCATTTTTATCCCATGACATTTAAAATGAGTGAATTATTCAGGTTTAGAACCAAAAGAAAAAGTTGCTAGTAGTCAAGAATTGCTTGAACGAATGTATTATAGCTCTCCAATTCATTAGAATATCGTTCCCTAAAATTCCTGCCATGGTCCATCATAGTTTAGTGGTTTTCGTGGATTTCGTCCATCTCCCCTTATTCCCCTTTGTATTATCACATTCTAGTCCTCCATATGTATTGTTCGTTGTTATAGCAGGTCGTCCTCGAAAATATCATATTTTTATGTATTTTATTTGGGGCTCTGGACCTCTTGAAGCTGTCTTCCCACGCATTTTCAGGTTTCTAACTTCATGTCCTTGTATCTCATTCATTTCTGGATGGTTTTTCACGTTCTTGGTATCATAAATTTCCATTCATTCCCACCTTTCCAATGGTACTAAAGTTGTGTTCTATTTCTTGGTATTCGTCGAGTTAGCAAAAGTTCGCGCACACATTCGGTAATCACGTGCATCATTCCCATAGTCGTTCATATGTGGGCGCTGTTTCTGTTTAATTGTTCGGGATTTATGATATGCTCGGGTGTTTGTATCCTTCATATGGGCTTCCGTGATTTATTTCAGATTTTTCCCTCATGATCTAAGGTTGTTTTGTACTTTCCGTGCTTAGTTTTGACTGGGGTCTTGTCAGGGCACACCCGCCTGACCCGGGCCCACCCGGGCCCACCCGGCCACACCACACCCGCTCCCCGCTGTCTATCCCCCTCCCCCCTCCTTCCTCCCTCTCCTCCCCCCTCTTTTCCCTTTTCTTTCCCCTTTCTTTATTTCATTCTTCTCATCCTCCTCTTCCTGTTTATTTCTTTCTATCTACACGGACCACCTTCCCTTGTATCGATGTACTATTGACCCGTCCGGCCCACACACCCCGGACGGCTTCCCGCTGTGCCCAGCACGCGCGCATGTAGCGGACGCTCTCGGGATCCCCCACGGGGACACCCGGATGCCTGCGGCTGCCTCCGAGGATGACGTGGCACCTGTCATGTGACCCAAGCCGCATGTACATAAATGTACCTGAAGTGGGAACCGAAGAAGTAACCTTCTTCTCACATTCTCCACTTCAGTCTGAGTGGCCAGGGACCACTGTCCCGGATCGGGCCCGCCAGTACGCACGCCCGCTCCACACCCCGCGACGGCCTCAGTGCCGGGCATTACCCCCGGGCCCTCTCGACCCCGGACGCGTCCCTGACAGGTCTTCCTTATTGGACGGAAATTGGTCTTCGTGATCTGCCGAAGTGTGGATCTTGGTTCCGATGGCCGGTTCCCTTCACATTGCCACCCTCACATGTCTTTAAACATGATGCGGATTTCTATATTCCCATTGTTGGTATAACTTCACAACAGCTGGACAGTTTGGGCTGAAATTTTTCATAACTACAGTAATTCACCCATGAATGGTGTTGTTTTTGTAATTTTGAGATTGCAACCTGAAATAAGCACCAAACGGAAATCTATCATTATGGATCATAGCCAAACTAAATGTTTACATGTATACGGAATATTAAAGCAAACAGATGGGAAATGAGTGAATATATGAGCAAACAAAAAATGAGGCCTTCCCTACTCAATGGTTTTGCATGACAAGGTGTGACAATGGATACCACGTGCCAACCCAATCACTCGTTGTCATCCCCAATGGGCTCAACCTCCTCCCCTCCACACTCTCTGACCATATCTGATGCCAAACCGGCCAGCTGGGGATAGTTCACTGCTATCCACTCCCTTTTTGTGACTCCTTTCGGTTTCTTTGGCACCCTCAGCTTTAGTGCCTGCAACCTTTCCTTCTCCTCCTTCCACACTGCCGCACATGCCTTCTGCCCTCTTTGGAACTCTTCCCAATCCTTCTGTACTTCCTTCTTTACCTTCTCTAACTCTTCCTCCATCATCTTCCTCTTAAATCGGTCTGTTTGGTGCTGAACAAAGCCACTGTGTGTCACCACGCATCCAAATGTGCCTTTGATCTGACCACCCTCCTCTTTGTGTTTGTTTCCCTTTTCACGTGAGAGAAGCTGGGCCCGAGCCTTTGATGCATACATTCCACACAGAGCTAGCTGGGCATTGGTTGCATCTATGGCTGACACTGCACTCGCCACATACTCTTTTGCGCTCCAGAATTCAGAGCATGTTTCTTGCAATTCAGCAATCAACTCCACATGCGTCTTTGACTCATAGCTTGTTCCCTCAGCTAGGTCCCATTGGATGCTTTTCAGTCCTGCAGAATCCCCATATGCCTCCTTTGGAAGTTCAAATGTTGAATGGAGTGGTGATGTCGAAACAACGAATTTGGACGATGACGAGAACGACATGATGTGCTCTAAATCATCGACTGCATGCCTTTTTGCCTGGGAATATGCCACTGGTGTCTCAACTACTGTTGGAGATGTCGTTAAGAAGCCTTGGCTTTGGCATGTTGGGGTGTGTATCGATGAGGAATCCTCAGGTTGCTGCCAATGTATGGCATGGATCATAGGATCAAATATTGGCTGATCGTTTGTATTGTCATCGTTGCCTAAGTTGCCGTCCTCACTGTAGTGATCACTCCGACTGCCAAGGTACATCCTGGGGTCCTGAGAGCTGTCAAATGGGGAAGGTGTGTCCTCACGCTGGTACTTCTTGGCCAAGAGTTGACTGTGGAAGTACATAATCCGCTTAACAGGTGATGTAACAGGTGAGTAACATCTGAAAAGTGTAATATCTCCCATGGGCTCCATGGATATCCATGGGTTTTCATGGGTTTCCATGGGTTTCCATGGGTTTTCATGGGCTTTCATGGGTTTTCATGGGTTTCCATGGGCTTTCATGGGCTTCCATGGGCTTCCATGGATTTTCATGGGGGGCCATGAACACCCATGAACACCCATGGAAGCCCATGAAAGCCCATGAAAGCCCATGTACAACATTATCTTCCAATTTCCATGAAATTCCATGGGTACCATGAATGCCCATGGATACCCATGAATACCCATGGGAGCATTATTAGAAGGGTCCATGAATGTCCAGAATGTTCATGGATGTTTATGGAGGTCCACAGAAGTCCATGACAGTGCATGAACAACAACATACTTGTCAGGACTCAACCCTCATTCAGGGGCAGCCTGACCTCGGAGTTGGGTGTGTGCAGTGTTCTGGGCAGTGGGGCACTAGATCCTGCCTGTAGTTCCTCAAACTCACTGAGGGGGCTAAGTGGGGAGTGAGTTGAGAAGAAGGGTGAGTTTCCTTATCCCTGCTAAGCTACTATAAAAGGAAGTGGACTGTGCCAGTTTATAGTGTGACTGTTAGAACGGGGCTGATACAGACGACTCCGGAGTGGAATCGGAGACTTAGCGTGGAGGGACCTTGGCCTCAGCGACTCAAGTGGAGCGCTGTGCCATTGCTGTTTGTCCATTTGGTCCTTAATTTCACAGTAGGTGAGCAGGAAGTCTCTAGGGGGCATTTCAGGTCGATTTCGGACTGAACCAAAACGAGTATGTACAAGCACCGATATATATAATGGAAGGGGCAAAAGCACAAGGAAACAAAGTGGAACCGAATCGGAACGAAGACGTCCGAACGGGAACAAAGGGAAGAAGGAGCGGAGCGGTACCGAAGGTCATAAGGTAGGACCTGTGATACTTCCGAAAGGAGGTAGGGAGGGCAAGGCCCAGAGGGGCAGGAGGATGAGGAGAAGTGGGGATGATGACTAACTGGCTAGAATGGGAAGAAGCAGTAGTCCAAATAGGGATGAGGGGTAAACGTGAGAGATACATTACAAGTGGCGAAAGTGCCGAAGGCGATCCGCGAAGCTCGGGGGTTGCGGAGCTTACGGAGGTTACGGAGGCGGGGTTGAAAGTCCGAGGGATATTGGCAATGGTGTTTACGTAGTATGAGGTCACCAATGCAATGGACTAAGACCGAGGTGGAGCCAAAGTCCGAGGTCGGGACTATGACGGTGTAACGGGGATTTGCCGGTGTACCCTAAACGAGCCAAATCCCGCGATTCTACCACCCTCAGCAAGCACCTCACATCCATCACATGTAGCCTATATCCCCTCACACTCTTTACACACATTTCCTATTTTTCCTAATTTTTCTGATTCCATTTCCAATGTCTAGAGGCCGATGTTTCCATTTTCTTATTGTCATGTGATATTCTTTCCTATTTTGTCTATCGGACTCTTCCGTGACCTGCTGTATAGTTTGGTAGAGTTATCAGCACCAGACTCAACTGGACCAATATACCCACTCAGACCTGACCCTCAGTGAGATCCTTATCCCCCCTCTTTCCTGTCACGAGTCTAGTGGATAGACCCGTTACAACGGAGGCTCAGAGCGAAGGTACGAGCAGTGTCCGAGTAGGAAGTACAGGACAGCAGTGGAAGGTTGTAACTTGGCGGAAGGGTGGCGGAGGAGTACCAGAGGGAGGAGAGAGGGGAAAGGTAAGGGGGAAGGAGTGGCGGAGAGGAGGGTTGTCAGGTCCGAAGGCGAGTATCAGAGCGGACGGGGGAAGCGTAGGAGGATTACGGGAGGGTGGAGGCATTGCGGAGGGGGAGTGGAGTAGGAGGAGGAGTAGTAGGAGGGCGGCGAGAGGGGTGGTGTTCGGTCCGAGGTGAGTATCGGAACGGCAGCGGTAGGTTATGACTCCGGAGGTGAAGAGGGTGGAGGTCCGGAAGTCGGGTCGGGGTCGGGTATGCACGGATATGACAGTGACTGCAGGCAGAAGCCAGGTGCATTCCCACAGCTTGGACAGGGTGTCACATGGGTCTGTATGTGGGCTCCTGGTTGTAAATACACTTGGAAAAATAGGGAAAAATGGGGGGGACTGGGGGGAGGGGTTTCAGGGTTGTATGTTCAGGTGAGGTGCCCTGACAATACTATAGCAAGTGAATGAAATTGCAGGACTCAGAGACCCATGGGGACCCAACCAAAAGCCTTTATACATATGTCTTCACAGGTGTCATATCCATCCTCCACCACCACCTTCTGTCACCTCCAGCCATCCCTGATTACCTCTGCTCCACTCATACCAACCTCAGAGCCCCCCAATGGTCACCACCCCCCATTTCCATATATTACTTACACCTCCCTAAGTACAGAACCCCAAAGGCCTCCAGACAGCTCCAATGTCCACAAGCACACCCCTGACTCTGTTGGGCCATTTAGTCGCCTGCCCTGCAAGTCTGCCTTTGGACCACCCTCTCCATTCTCCTTTTGGGTTGTTGTCTGTTAAACCTGTAACCCAAGTTGCCAGTAATATTCAGTTGACTAACCCTTGACCCTGTTATGTCAGCTCCACCTGGTTCCTGCCATTTATGGGCCCTCCGCCTAGACTTCCCATGTATCTGCAAATTAGGGCCCCAACATGCTACTGGGCACAGCGCTCCTGGCTTGGGTTGCTGAGGCCAAAGCCCTCTGAACACTGAGTCATACCTCCCTTTCGAATCCAGTCTTTGACAACAGGAGTCTGTATAAATGTTAGAACTGTGGGGCTGAATTGGTCCATTTCCATAGGTTTTGTGTGCAGCATAAGGGGTCAGCATAGGGATGATTCTACAGATAATGTGGCAGAGGTTGTGAGAGCTGGGTTTACAATAACATGGTTGGGTCAGGTTTTGTGTGATGATAGTTGTTGGATACTAACTATTTACATGGCGTGGGATACTGTACTCCACAGAGCCCATAAGAGGCAAAAACCCATTTCTATAATAATAAATATGAACTTTGATTTTTGTGCCACAACTGTGAGTGTCCACTGAATATGTTGGTGTGCTTGTTTAAGCACAGGCGCAGCCTCACACTCCCAGTCCATCAGTACATGCCATAATGAGGCTACATATATGGTTAAGGGTGGGAAATACAATCCTTACAACTGATCACAGGTGCATCATACATGTGAGGAGCCCAGGGAAAAACATGCATACATCTCCATCAGTTTTGATCACAGCAAAATTTATATAGTATTGGTGAATATAGACATGTCAGTGCTGCCTATCTTCAGTAACTTTCATCATTAATTATGGCAATATTTGCTTCACACTTGATTGAACAATGGAAACCCCCCCTCTGCTCTGACCATCTGCACATCACTGTGGCAGCATTGAGTGTCAAATCCTTGTAACAGAGCAAAATAACAGCACATAGAAGCTGTTACATAAATGGCCTTTGGGAGTTCATGAGCACCCATGGTGTCAGGGCAATAGCCCTGAACCCCAAGCCACATGTAATTAGATACATATAGTCATGTGGGTAAGTGGGAACCTCCGGGTAACTGCTTACACACCACTGTAAAATACACATACTTGTATCACTTACAGCCTTGTGTGCTGAGCTACCCAAAGACCTCACACATGGGCACCCATGTGTCAGGGCACACCCGCCTGACCCGGGTCCACCCGGACCCACCCAGCCACACCACACCCACTCCCTGCTGTCCAACCCTCTCCCTCCTCCTTCCTCTGTCTCTCCTCCCCTTTCCTTTCTCTCTTTCTTCCCCTTTCTTTATCTCATTCCTCTCATCTTCCTTTTCTTGTTTATTTCCTTCTATCTACACGGACCACCTTCCTTTGTATCAATGTACTATTGACCCGTCCGGCCCACACACCCCGGACGGCTCCCCGCTGTGCCCAGCACGCACGCATGCAGCGGACGCTCTCGGGGATACCCGGATGCCTGCGGCTGTCTCCGAGGGTGACGTGGCACTCGTCATGTGACTCAAGCCGCATGTACATAAATGTACCTGAAGTGGGAACCGAAGAAGTAACCTTCTTCTCACATTCTCCACTTCAGGTAAGTAGTATAGTTTTCCCTTTTAATAACAATAACACATTCTCCACTTCAGTCTAAGTGGCCAGGGACTGCTGTCCCTTCCCGGACCCGCCAGCACGCACGCCCGGTTTGCACCCCACGAGGGCCCTTCTGCCGGGCGATACATCCGGACCCCCTCTACCCCGGACGCGTCCCTGACACCATGAGAGTCCATGAATATCCATGGGATTCCATGAACACCCATGGGAGTCCATGAACATCCACAGAAGCCCATGACCACTCATGGGAGGCTGTAAAAGTCATGTAATTTGTCAGAAAATCCATGGAACTCCATGAAAATCCATGAAAATCCATGAAATTTCATGAAATTTCAAAAAATCCCATGGAATCCCATGGAATCCCATGAAATCCCATGGAGCCCATGGAGCATCTATCACTTTTCATGAGTTACTGTAACAGGCAGAGGGAGATCAGCATGGGTTGAGTGTTCAATACTCGGTGCCAGTTGTTGGGGGTGGATTACAGCTGGGTCAAATGGGTAGACACCAGTTATGCGGAAACAAGTCTTGACATGTTCCTCGGTGACAGAGTCCACCCAAGCCAACCCAAACACAGATAGAAATGAAGTTTTGTTCAACTTCTTTGGGACATTCTCCTGGTTATAAATATCGCGGTGTTTGGTGAAGGATCTTTTGAGAAGGGCAAAAGTCACAACATCAAGTCCTTGAAGCACATGAGTCATATGAGCAGGATAACAAATCACAACAATTTTGTGCTTGCATGCATATGAGATGAAGTCAAGGCTGTAATGGGAGTTGTGCCCATCAACGACGAGGAGACGGTAATGGTCTGCTGCCTTCTCCTCTGTATTTTCATTGAATGTTTGGAGCCAGTCCATTCCAATCTCATGGTCTGTCCAGCCCTTGTCAGAAACAGCAACCCTGCCAAAAGTGAGCTTAGGTTGAATTGTGAACATCAAGACTTACGCGCATTTCAATGGGTTGTTCCACAACCATTTTGAATTTATGTT